AAACGAAAGTAAGTCAGAAGAAATTTAAATATTAGATATAATCTAACTTGTATACTTGACATATATATATATATATAGTTAACATATAACCTACTTGAATATATATATATCTATCTTCTTATATAAGTTTACAAACATTTCCTTATCACAAAGTGCATTGTTGAATTTGAGTTCAAATATACCTAGGTCACCTTTCTTCTTAATAGAAAATATGATAATATCAAGAGACACTTTCCTTGATTTACAGATGAAAACAATTGTCTGTATACCCCCAAGGGAGAGCACATTTTCTAACTAGTTCAGTTTGAAAAAAAAATTTAATTGAGTACATCATGTGAAGGTTAAATGATTCAGGTAATAAAAGTTTTAGTAACTGAAAGTCTTAACAGAGGTACATATTACAAGTTCTAGACTTTAAAGATGTGATTAGCATGTTTCTGTCACCATATAACACACAGTATCCAAGACATCCCTTATCAAGATATACAACTACAATTTATCAACACCTTCATTCAGCAGCTTTTTCATCTCATGATTTAACCTAATATTCTGCCAGCCCTGATCCCCTTCTGAAGTAGCAGGTTTTTGACAGAAAAAATCCATGGCATTTACCTGTAGAAATCTTGGGTCTAAAGGGAAATCTTTTTGGATTTGGGAATATAACACTTTATTATGAGAAAATATGCAACTTATGGGTAAATATTTTAGCAATTGGGAATAAAACACTTAATTTTTGTGAAAATTTATGAAGTTATGATTACTTACATCAACATTTGATAAACTCCTTAAATCCAAGCACACATCAAAATATATAAGCATTCAGCAATATCCTAAGCAATGTCCAAAACACTTCTAATCCTTCACATAGACAAATCTTAACAATCCAAATATTCATCAAGAAACTTCACTAACTCTCTCAATGTCTCCAAGGTATAAAATCATGTATTAACTTTATTCTATTTACCATGTAGAACATGATTAATCTTTACACCATATATCATAGATCATAGTCTAGAACAATAGGTCTTCAAAACAATAGAATACAATAGGCAATAAAGAGACTGGGTAGGTGGTCATCAGAGACTACTGCGATATAAGTAGGAAATACCAAGGTATAATACAGGACTAACGTAAAGATTATAATTTATGATCTCAACAAGGATAAAGTTGTAATTGTTTTTGGTAAAGGAAAGGTGTTGACAAGAAAATTGCCCATTGACTTATATTGTATCAATGAAGGGAAGGATTGAAAATTCTTCAACTTAATTAGGATATTTCACACAATATAGATTTTCTTATTAACACCAGATCAACTTTCTAAGTATAGGTTTAGTCTGACTATTTTATTGGAAAGGAGATTGAGGAAACTTGGTGGGCAATGTCAATATTAATATCCATATGTTTTCATTCTCAAATTTCTATGTTTGAATTCTTCAACAATTAATAAAAATGAGCCTTTAAGAATACATTAAAATTTAAAATTGTTATATATTGAAACAGTATATTGTCAGTCGAATTTTTTTTATTCAATTGACAGATAACTGAAGTATTTCTAAAGAGAATACTAAACTGTATTTTCAATCTGTTCAATGATAGTTAAGTTGTATTTTCCAAACAAATAATTGAACAATATATGCCTCCAAAGACTGATTACTGTATATTTTGTAGGCCTCATCAACTGGGTTTTATTTTTATTTAATTCAAAATTATTTGTGATCAGTATTTATCAATCAGTTGACTGATAACTAAACATTATTCTTCAATCAGTTCACCATTAACACTGAACAGATAACTGAACAGACCTATTATTTAGCTTTAACAGTTTGTGGATTCAGATGTGCTCAATTCTTTCTGTGTACTGTTTGTTAGGTATTTTCCGAAATACTTCACAAGCTAACATAGTCACTAAATCTAAATTGATTTGTGGTAAACACACTTACAAGTAAGTGTTCCTTTCTATTTAGTTGGAATTAAGCCCAGCCTTCTATACAAATAATGAATAAACAATCATTTAAACAGATATTTTTTAAATTCACTATAAAATTTTCATGAAATAAAGAAAACAAAGCAAAAGTTCAAATGAAAGTTCTTGGGTCATTGTTTTATTATATATCTTTTTTTATTTGAAAAAAATGTGACCAGACACACGTTTTCTATAGTAACTGAAAAAAGTCATCTGTCATGACAATTAAGCTACTGAAATCAATCACTTTCCCCATTCACATTTCAACACCATTGTTTAATCTTTAAAGAGGGTATAGTTATTAAATTTAGCTCACAGGCTATGTAAAATAGACCTAAAATGAGAAATTTTAGAATACTTGACATGTTCAAGTAAAAAGCTTCTTAGATGTCTTCCGCCAAATTAAATTCTTTTGATATTGCAGTAAATTTGTAGATAATGGTCATAAATTTACATATTTTAGCATAAAAATCAATGTCATGAATAAACATTATTAGAGACAGTCAATTCCTTTATGGTGAACATTTACAGGCTTATGTTAAATTCTTGCTGCTATGCATTACAGAGAATAGTGCAATACATAACATGAAGGAATGTAACTACCATACATGTAATAAATATAGACCCTCTCGTCAATGTTTTCCTTACTATCCACAAGAATTTATGGCTGGGTCCTGATGAAGAGATAGAGAATGAAAAATAACTTCACAAGACTTAAGCAGTTCAACAAAGATTTGATCTGGCTATTTAACTATTAATAATTTCATACAAATGACATCATAAAATTTCAATAATTCTGACCAACTTAGCTACATCCTGTCATATTGTAAG